TTGGCAATACAAATATTTTCACAATCCACTCAAAAATATGAGGTCATGTCTGAATGATTCTTGACTCTTGAGTGACACAATATCCAAAGGAAATCCCTTCAGCGTCCTGATATTTATGACAGCTGTCGAACTGCTGAATGCTGTCAGACAGAGTTCTTTAACACAGACAGCGTCTTTAATGCTGTTATAAGCCTGACATCCTGCCATGATCAGCATCACTGCTCCAATGGCTCAATGGCTTAGTGCCATTTTTCCTGTTCAATAAACATTAATTTGGCTAATTGACCGCAAGAAAAAAAAAATCAGTATGTTTTAATGTGTGATGTGGAAACTGTGTGTGTTTGAGTGTGAATGAGAGTTATACGGAAACTTTCACTTTAGCAATGATTTCCTGTGCACTGCCAACACATTTCAGTGGCTGTTTTTAAACCTTGCTTCTTAAAGCTTCAGTTATTTCTGGATGCCTTTGACTTTGAGCTTTTCATGTGATTTGGTTGTGTTTTAATGAGAAAACTATGGAAACCTTCAAAAGCATTCATTGTTTTACTGTGAACGATTCATAGAAGCACATTATTTAAAAAAAAAAAATGTAAGTTTTTATAAACTTTTATCAAAATCGAACAACCTGCTATACTGCTGTAACGACTTGCAGCTGACATCAACATTCTTAATATTTTTCAAACCCTGCAAACACCTGGTGCCAGTCGGGCATGCAACACACACTTTTCATGATCTAATGAATTAAAGCTACATTTATTTTTCTTGTTGAATACTCAGTTTCACTTGGAAATGAATCCAGAAAGATTATTTGCACATAATATACAAACACAGTGAAATATTTGTAATGAGTATTTGATAATGAGTAATAAATAAAATATATTTATTCAATTATATATGTTAATAAATGAGACCCTAAATAATAATTAATACAATAATTTATAATAAATGCAGCCTTCTTGTAAAGTGTTACCAATATATGTTTTTATATATATATATTTATTTTTATTTTATTTTTTTTTCAATATATATACTGTGCATATCTACTTCCATATAGTACATTGCAAAAATGGCCACTGAAAGACATTTTGGTGGTGCACTGTAGAACATTTCTAGTGACTGTGAAAGAAAAAGCAAGCGAATGCAATAAAGAAACCATTCATACAAGCAGAGCCAATCACTTTTCAAACTAATGTGTTGTTTGTATGACTGCAGCTGACCTCATCCTCGGCTTATTGTTTGCTGTTGTGAATCTACCTTGAGCTAAGCTTCGATTCCTCTTCTGTATGGTGTCTTCTCTCAGCTGCATTAGTTTTAGCACGTTAAGTCATGGCAGCAGAAGCGATTTTCCCTTGCACACAGATTTCCCATGATCAACAGCACAGCGCGTGGCACACTAAGGACTTGGGCGGTCACTCTCTCGACCGGCAGGAATATCATCTACTGAGAAGCTGCCGGGAAGGATGCATTATGACCAGTGCCTTTTGAGGCCGGTTCGCCTTCATGTATGATGATATTAGCAGGGCAAATGTAACTAAAGCTTATCTAATCTGAGGTAATACGAATTCCACTCTGAACAGCATGATCCTACACAGCAGGAGGAACAGCGTGATTGAGGTCTGTGTGTGTCCCGAACAGATATGATTTATTACAAATAAGAAGCAACAGCCTTAGCTAGCATATTTCAAGGGTTCAAATAAGGTGGAATTTCTTTTTACAGGACTTAAAAAGCTGAATATTATTTCCTAGGTCACCGAAATGACAAATATGGCGTTAAATATGGACAATAGATGGTAAATGAAATCGTTTTATGAATAAAACGCCACCAAACACTTAGTCTTTGATTCACAAGAGCTTGAAGAACAAAGGTGGCAGAACTAATTAAAAACAAAGCTGGCCTTCAAGGAATTAACTTCAAGGAATGACACTAAAGTGAAACAAAAACATTGAAATGTCACATAAAGATCCAGTGTAGGTACGGTGTCTGGGATAGAGTAATTGAAATTACTGCGTGGGAGGTGCAAGTTGCTTGTGTTATTTCAGGCAAAATATTCCTTATGCAAACTTAAATCTGCATAACGTCATTCATAACAGAAAAAATAGTAGAATTTCACGCTCCAGCGAGAATATGCTTACACCCACGAGAGAATTACCATAACAGAAGTGCGGTTACTAAGAACTTTGCCACGTTTCAGATAATGTTGTAATATTACTGTGCATATCAATGTATTTCACCCACTGATCTGCTTGAAACGTGCATTTACACGCTGTGGCAGCATGCAGAGCCAACCTCAAACAAATCATTTACAATTACAAACAAGCAACACTGGATGGGGGGAATCTCCATTACTGCTAATAATGTAAATTTTGGCTAACAGCCATTATATGGTTCTACAGAGACTCACTCACTTCAATTAATACAATAAACTTGACCTTGGAAAAATCTAAATAACCCAAGCTTAAATAAATTTATTATGCATTTCCATTATATGAGAAACACATTGGGCTTCTGAATGGAGATCAGATCATATGATGAACCATAACAGAAGTGCGCTTACTAAGAACTTTTGCCATGTTTCCGATCATTTTGTAATATTACTGTGCATATCAATGCATTTCACACAACTTGATCCACTTTGAAACGTGCGTTTACTGTACATGCTGTGGTAACATGCAAAAGCAACCTTAAAAAATATCTACAATTACCTCCATGACTGTTAGTAATGTACATTTTGGCTAACAACCATCATGTTGTTCTACAGAGGCTTCAAATTCATCAATACAAAGTAAACTTGACTTAAAAAAAATCCAAATAACCCAAGCTTAGATCAATTTGACTTAATAAATAAATAAATAAAACTCTGTAAAAACTCTGTAAACAAACTTACATAGTCTCTGTAAACAAATCAAACAATTAATTTACAATGACAAAAAACAACCCTGTATGGGAAAAATTGCATCTCTATGTGTTAATAATGTCAATTGTAGCTCATTTGCTTCAATAACATAAAAATCAAATAACCTTCACTTCAAACAAATCTAAATATCCAAAACTTAAATCAATTTAGCATGCATTACAATTATATGAGAAACACATGGGGTTCCCAAATGGAGATCGGGTCACACAGTGAACTTAACAAAACCCAAAAAAATGATCTGCCAGTGATTTATGCGAGACCCGTAATTTGATTCTACAGATATGTGGAGTGATTATCTTAACCAGTCACCTTTGGAAGGCATTGATTTCCCGAGGAGCCGTGAGCACATTGCCCGCTGTTCATGCAGCACTTTATTGACACTTTATGATTCTGCAGAGTCTCTGCATTGGAAATGTCAAAGTGCACGTATTGGTTTTTGGGGTGATACCATTCTCAAATGCAGGAAGGTAGATCATATCAGCCTTGATATCTTTATGTTAGTGTGAAATGGAGAGGTAATAGTTGCTGCAATGAAAATCCACACAAATTGATTTTTGAAGCATAAACCAAAGCACATTCTTGATAATGGAAGCATATTTTATAGGCGGTGAGATTTTATCTACTTCTACTGTGGTTCATTTCACAAATGCTGCAGTCGATACAACATTGACTCTTTGTAATGATATTAATTCAAGGCTAGTAATTTTTTCATTACAAACCAATTATGAAGTCCTTTCGCTTGGTGTGGTTGCCAATCAGACAATAGTTCAATAAACACAGACTTAAGGCCATGTTTTGTTATTCGTGACAATGAGAACTGCTCATTCTTTTCAATAAGATGCCTTTTTTCTTATCAAATGATTCATGTCATTGCTTTCTTGAGTAATGCGATGGGTTGGGGTCTGTGTTAATAGAACACCATCTATCCCACAGTTCTAGTGTTAAATTAGAATATAAATAAGCTTGTTAGTGTAAGGAATAATTGGTATATCCATAATTGTCTCTCTTGGCTAGCGCAATGCATAGCAGTCACAGTGAGAGGCTAATGTGACTGAAGAGCAATGTGGTAATGAGCTTTTATCGTATACCACTGTGAAAGGAAATCAAACACTAGAGTTTTAGCATTCAAAAGACTACTGAACAACTTGTTTGCATAGATATTATACTTCTAGGGCTTCAAAACCACATTTGCCTCTATTTTAAATAATAAATTTGTCCAGAGATGAATACTGTGTCATTGTTTACACGACATGTTGTTCCAAACTTATGCAATTATTTTTTCAGTGGAATAACAGCATACAGGTTTGGAGCGACATGAGGGTGAGTAAATAATGACTGGATTTTCCTTCATAACTAACTATCCAGACTCATGCAAGTCCTGCTCACTCAAGCTTCAGATATTTCAGAGATGCTTCCTGAGTCGTACTCTGTCTGATCAATATTGCCACCCACCTGATCACCTCTGACTCTTTTGTCTGTATCCTACAGTGCACCTGAAGCTATATCCATCAGTCTGAGAGTACGTGAAACCTTGGCTTTGGCTTCTTTAGGTTAGCCTTTTAACATGTGAAATGTTCTGGAGGTTTTCACCTGCTGGGTCAGGTGAAAGGGTAACCAGCAGGTGATGTTATTATCTGTAGCCCACAGCAATATTCTGCCACCTATAGCTCACATGCACATAAACAAACATTCACAGTGCAGGACCACATCCTATTCCTAATGCCAACAGGAATGCATGGTATCTAGCCAATGACCAAGCTGTAAAGAAAAGTTATACTTAAATTCTTTGGAGAAAACTTTTTGTTTGTACTTTTTTTTCCAGTTTAACATGTTAATTTAGTGCAATTATTAATACAAAAAAAGGGATATAAAATAATTTAAATAATCACACCCCCTGACCCATATGTACATAAATAAATAAATAAAATAATTCCATAAGTGAACTGCTGTCACTTATGCCAATTCCTACCAGAAGCCAGAGAAGAGCTAAGATACACTTGCTGTATTCAATATGAAAAGCAATTACTTGCAAAGACATTGAGAATAGCAGTGCATTTAGCTACAGGTTTCGTAAATCTCACTTACCCTTTCTGCCGATTGTGCGGTGCCAAAGAAGATAGGTATAAAAGCTAGCCAAATGATGCAGGTAGTGTACATAGTAAATCCAATAGGCTTGGCCTCGTTGAAGGTCTCTGGCACGCCGCGGGTCTTGATGGCATAAACAGTGCATGTTACCATCAAAAGGATGCTGTAGCCCAGCGAACAGATGAGTGACAGGTCTGAGATGTCACACTTGAGAACCCCACGAGCCTTCTCCGGGTCGGATGTACGCTGCTCACCGTAGTCCACCACTGTGTGCGGCGGATCGACGGCAAACCACACAAACACACCGAGAAGCTGCACCGAGATCAGGCTGAAGGTGATGACCAGCTGAGAAGCAGGGCTGATGAAGCGTGGTGCAGCCACCGACTTCTTGCCTTGCTCAAAGATGCGGTGGATGCGGTTGGTCTTTGTTAGGAGAGCAGCATAGCTGAAGCACATGCCCAAACCCAGGAACACCCTTCGGAAAGAGCAGATGGCCAAACTTGGTGTTGCGATCATCAAGAAGGTGATGGCGTAGCACAAAAAAATCCCAGTCAGAAGCACATAGCTCATCTCTCGGCCGGATGCGCGGACAATTGGTGTGTCATTGTAGCGGACGAAAGTGACCACCACAAAACTTGTAGCCAGGATTCCAAGAACTGCAACAAACACTGGTATGGCTGCCCAAGCAGAGTGCCATTCAAGTTTGATGATTGGAATGGGGATGCAACCGGTGCGATTACGGTCTGGGCGCTGCTCGTATGGACACAACTCACAACTGAATTCACTGGCTTGGAAGTGGTAGCCTTCGCATCGCTCACAATGCCAGCAACAAGGTACACCCTTTACGATCTTCTTCCTTTCACCCATCTGGCAAGGCACACTACACACCGAGACTGGAAGCGTAGGGTCGCCTGTCCGCCAGCGCATGGCATCCACCTGAAAAGGATAACAAAAAAATCCTGTCAAATACAGAGACCAGGGGTGTACTGTTATATTATTGAGGCCAACTGGGACCCATGTCAATATCACACAGTATTTGTTCACTTAGACCAGTGGAGAACTGTTCCCCCAACTGAGCATGGTTTCTCCCAAGGTTTTTTTTCTTTACTTCCTTTTCTGTCACCTGATGGAGTCTGGGTTCCTTGCCACTATCGCCTTAGGGGTTTACGTACTGGGTAGTTATAGGAACTCCCAGGGTGGTCTGCAGAGAACTTAATTTTCCCCTAGGACCTTTTTTCCTGTTGCATTCGCACCGCGAAGCTAACTTACAATGACATCATTTAACAACTGGTATATAGTTGTGTATGTTTGACAGCGTACATTCCTCATAGATGGACGCTGCTGTGATTTAGGTCAAAAACGCATACATACTCAGTACATATCAAACGAACTGTAATAACAGACAAAATAATAGTGACCACGTAATGAAAACAGTTACTCACACTTGTGTGGTGTGACATGACTGTCGGATCCAATATAGTCGGCACAGCATCGTCTTTTAGTTTCAATATTTCTGAAATCCCACGTTGAATTGTGCCTTGTTTGTAAATGAATCCGCGGTCAAATAAAGTGAACAAAGGACCAAGTTCTTACTGACGTGGTCTGGATCTTCATTAAAAATAAAGTTAAATAATTTCAAAGACTGGGTTTCCAAAACTTGGCACTGGACAGCATCTTGTTGTATTCGGAGCATCTTTATCATTTGGTTTCTGCGTAGACCTCTCGTTCTCTCTTTATTAACACTACATGTGCGAATAGTAGAAGCAGACGTTGATCCTCTAGTGTTTTTTTTCTAAAATTTTTGAGGTTCAAATGCTGTCAGAATCAGCGCTAACAATTTACGCACATCAATATTACTCATAGGGTTAGGGATTTAAACTAATCTTCAGAACAATTCTTGCATAATTTGTGTTACATAAATCAAATACTCCTCTGTCGAGGAGAGATGTACATTTACTTTTCTAAGCAATCTTACTTATGATTTTCACAAGTTAAGTAGGCAACAAAGTTTTAGAGATTCGGGACTAAGCTCTCTTTATTTGCAACCACCCAGAACACACTAGCAACACACTAAAAATGTCGCCTTTCCGCTAGCGTATGGCATCCACTTGCAAAGCATTACGAAAAAAGCCCTGTCAGAGATGAAGACCAGAGGCGTACTGTTATATTAGAAACTGTGCATTCAAAGTAAGTCTCATTACCCACATAGATGTAGGTTGTGTCATATTTGCAGAAGAAATCACTTTATTACCCCTTAGCGCCTGAAAGCTGTGGAAAATAAGAAGCCAACGCTGCTCTTTTAAGTGCAGCTTCAGTTAGGCTCCCGGGTGCAACTTTGATGGCAGATATATTTTGGGACAAACTTGTGCCAGAGGCATTTGAGATGAAATAAATAACGACAAACCTGAATTTAAGAAGTGACTGCAATGTATTACGCAAGAAATGTAATTGCACGTAAAAAAACGATTTTGCCAGACCAATCCATGGGACAAATAAGGACAGCTCTATACTTATGCTCTATGGTTCTCACTGTCGCCTGCTGCAAAGAGATGGCCGTGAATGAATTATTCATGCTTGAGACAAATTATACCTGGCAAAAACAGATTGGCTTTAATTAGAGAAGCAAAAAAATAAGGGACCTATAAAATGAAAAAAGACAACATTTGCAAATGAACAGAAGTTGACTTATCACATAAAAGGGTATGAAGGGTATTTAAGAATAATTGAAAGACCAAATCCCTTCATTTGATTCTTCCCATTCTGTCTGAAACAAAAGCCACACTGACCATTCACAATTAAGCAGTTTAATTTGGTTTTATTCATCCTGAAGACACAGTAATGGGGAGTGAGAAGGGTTTTTACTACATTTACTACACAGAGCCATAGATCACTGATAAGCTACGCAATATCGCGTTCAAAATCGGCAATGAATCGCCTGTGATTTTGAACGCGATTTTGCATAGCTTGTCAGTGAACTACGGCTCTGTGAAGTAAATGCCGCTCCATCTGAACGCACGTGCTGGAGATTTACTACTAATCACAGAACCGGCTTTTCTGACGAGATGCGCATGAAAATCGCATTTGATTGATCCATATTCTACTTGTTTTGTAAACTAAATGAAATTTTAATGGTTAGATAATTGAATTTGCACAGCCCTACCCAGAAACATCATCTAGCAACCACCTAGCACACAACATCTAAAACTGCCCAGAGAATCTTAGCAATTGCTTAGAAACTCCATAGCAACATGTAAAAATGCCCAGAACACCCTAGTAACTACATAGCAACACACTAAAGAAAACACCCAGACCACTCTCGCAAGCCCCCAGCAACATGCTCAAAACACCCAGAACAAACATCTAGCAACTGCATAACAATATAACACCCTAGCAACTGCACTGCAACATGTTAAAAAGGCCCAGGACACCCTAGCAACCAGGCTGCAACATGCTTAAAACACCCATAACATCTAGAAATTGCCAAGACACACCACTCGTATTTGCTTTGCAAAATTGCATTTAATTTTACACACACTCAATCTTTTACATCTGAGTGGAAAGAATATAACTGCTTCAGCAATTTACATATTGAATGTTTTATTAGTAGTGCTGTCAATAGATTAAAAAAAATAACGAATTAATCACACATTTTTCTGAAATTAATCGCGATTAATCCCACCTAACATTAACGTTTTTAAATATACTTTTATATTGAAGAGCATGCGCTGCGAGCACAGTACCGTTTCCGCGCTCGCTTGACTCGCACCTGGCGCTGAAGTGAAGTGGAGCGCGCATCTGAAACGTCTCCCATTCTCAGTCATTCTGCGACTGAATAAATGCACTTCTTCTCAAGAGAAAAAGTGACAGAAGCAGCAGTTGTGAGTGGGGTGGCCAACCCTAGCCCCGTCCCTGCATTAATTGCGTTAAATATTTTTAACACATTAAACTGAAAAAATGTATCGCCTGCGTTAACGCGCTAATTTTGACACCACTATTTATTAGTAGTTTCAGTAAGTAAACAGAGCCCTTTAAAGTGACCTGCATGCATCTTTCAGTAAACAGCAAAATTGCAAAACAGTGTGTATTGATTGTGAAAATGATTTTCCGAAAACGAAACGTTAACCTTGTTCTGAGCCGCAATCCTTTCAAGCTAATGAAAGTCGTTTTTCCGGAGTGAGTCGCCCTTAATGAGCTGCATGCAAATCACCAGCACTCCGTAACACATCCAGCGCTGATCTGTTTAAGCGCTTAAGGGAAGGGTTTGATACCTGAGTTAAGAAGCGAGATTTAAAGAACTACAGGGGGCTGGATCACAGTTCTGCTAAGCGACCACTTCCCCTCCCACTCACCTGCACAGACACAAAGCCCAGAGGAGCTGTGATTCTCCGTCACGTATCAGAAAACTACAGCTTCAATCTCCACACTGCTGCGAAAGCTTTTGGCAATGAAAACACGGCTCGTTTCTGGCTCCATTAATTTTGTTTCGCAGCCAGGCATAAAACATTACAAGCTTATCTTCCATCCCGTTGACTAACGAAGCCCCAAGAGTATTCATGTCACATGCATCATCAGCAAATATAAGATTTCCTACAAACATTTATGCTTGAATGTATCTGATTCGAGCATGCATACTTTGTTATACTCTGGATGGATGCATGAATGGATTTCGTCATGAAGACCAGAAAATGCTTTCCACTCACATTAAGATGCAGTTTGTTTGTCCACTGGCCGATCACTTTGTACTCAGCTGTCGATTTGTTGGTAATCTGATACTGGAAGATGTCGTATCGCCCTGGCGCATCTCCGTTCTGATTGAAGACCACCGGAGTGCCTGCACTTCCTGCAAAACAGGATATGACAGCTTTTTAAATGATCAGACTTATATTTTAGTTAGTAAAATAGCAACAAAATTGTCATTGTTACACATTTTTCTTCACATTCAAATGGAAGGAGGGAGTCAATCCGTATCTAGAGATTAAAGGGGTCATATGATGCGATTTCAAGTTTTCCTTTCACTTTGGAGTGTTACAAGCTGTTTGTGAATAGATAAGATCCCTAAAGTTGCAAAGACTAAAGCCTCAAACCCAAAGAGATATTCTTTATAAAAGTTAAGACT